AGAGAGAGAGAGAGAGAGAGAGAGAGAGAGAGAGAGAGAGAGAGAGAGAGAGAGAGAGAGAGAGAGGATTAACATGAGGTCTGAGATCCCGTCTCAGATCCGGTCCTGGCCAGATGTCAGATCTGTTGTTACTCAGATCGGAAAAACTTTATTTCAAATGAGTTAGAAAGTCTGCAGTTTCTGTTTTGTAAACTTTTCTAAAGTTTTTTTTAACTTTTTTTAAAACTGTTTCTGTTTTTTTCACTGTTTTATGTAGTCTCATCGGGTTGGTCTGTTGAGAACTGATTTGAAGTGTTCTGTGAGCCTTTCTGACTGTCTACGACAGTCACGGATTAGAAGTTGTCAAGTTCTATGCACTGCATGCCAGTGTGTCCCTCAAACAAGGTAAGTCTCGATCCCCATACTTCTCCCTTCAGAAGTGTGTCGTCAGACACTCAACTGTTGTTGATTGTGTGTTTGTCATGTACAATGTTTGTGTTCGCTGTGGTACGTTGTGGGATGCGAGTCACCAATGGTGTGTGAGCAGAGACAACACAGTGAACACACCATGTTGTGCTGTTTTTTTTTTGTTTTTTTTTTTGTTTTTTTTTTTGTTTTTTTTGTCGGTCCGGACATTTTCGGCTTCCGGGGCACCGGTCCGGACGGTCGGGGTCCGGTCTTGTCCGGTTGTCCGGTGCCTGTCCGGATTGCCGGACGTCTGGACCGGTCCAGACAAATGTCCGGGTGTCAGTCCAGACAAAAACGTCACGCTGGCATTTCGGCGAAACTTGGCACGCAGGGAGAATCTGTCTCGTACAAAAGAGGCGCCGATGTACACAGGTGGTTTGAGCCCCATTTATACCCCCCTTTCCCCTACCAACGGACAGCAATGAAAAGCAAAAAAGAGCCCAGATCTGGGCTGCTTTCAGTAGCGCCGCACAAAAGCCTCGTCAATGCAAAAAAAAAAAAAAAAAAAAAAGATCCCGGAGTTCTCACATGCCTGGGGTATCCCGCACATGCAGACGGCCGAGCGACAGGCGCGCTCGGTCGTGCAGTCGTGGCAGCCAAGTAGGTCACCTATTTCCTTGATTCGTTGTTTAATCAACATTTTTGCAAGTGATGCTCCTTGCCTCCTCCTCCCCTCCCTGCTGTCACTCCTTTGCCCTGTTCCTGCTCCACCCATATATCTTTTTAATGTTCGCAGCTGTTAACATTGCTGTCCTACGACAAATGACACACAACGAGTCGAAAGGTTTGGTGTGTTCAATGCTGTGTGGTTGAGAGTGTGGAAGAGTCATTTCTTCATTTTGGCCATTTTCTCTGTTGTTGTCGTAAGCACTGGTTGGCTGCAGTGGGAGGCTGATGTGCCCGAACTGCGAGGTTGAGTAATAGAATCTGAGTCTGATGTGCCCGAAGTGCATGGTGGCTGCCTGGCATATTTCTGCCCTGCATTTTTTTCAGATGCCTGAACAGTCTGGTTTTCAGTACTCGGTAGTATATATATACATATATATTGTCACATCACTACAAACTAAAAGAGCGCACTTTGCGGAACAAAGAATAAAAGCAAAAAACGGGCACAGTGATGACATGCAAAAATAAAAAGAAAAAGAAAAAACAAGGGCAGATTGAAACCATTAAATTTCTCATTCTTCTTTGAACTCCACCTCCACTGTGCCTCTCACGTGCAAGGCTCGCCAAGTTGATGAAGTTGAGCGCGAGCTGCCCCCATCCCGTATGCCATAACAGCCCACTTGCACGCTGTGAGAGAGGCAGAGTGAAGGGGAAGGTGTTAAACACAGGGAAAAGCTCAAGAATGAGGCTGTCCTTGACGACAGAAAGGACACACATTGTAAGGATGGGGTGGATGAGCGCATGGAAGACCTAACTGAGCATTCTCAAAACAACAACTGCCACGACGGCTGGCATTAAGCATGCCAACCATACATTCCTGACAAATAGCATGTCTATTGCAGGCCAGAATAAAGGAAGAACGCCCCCCACAAAAGAGCATGCATTCAGCATAGCGTCCGTGGCCACAAAATGGACATATAGTGTCCGGATGAGGAGGGTGCCTGCAGTCAGGAACGGAGGGACAATCCTGTACACACATGGATGCAGAAACCATCTCGTGGTAGTGATTGTGACAAAGATGATGGCGAGTACACCCAAGTGCAACAGTGTCTGTGGCTGTGCAAAGGAGAAGGTCACACAGTGTCTGTACATTGTACTGCTGCACTACGGTGCCAGAGGAATGATCTTCGACATAAAGGAGGTTGCGGACAGTTTGATGTGGCAAGAGAACAGCATCATAGAGTAAGAAATCAGTAATATCAATCATGGCATGGACCATGACACCGTCGTTCCACACCTCCCAATGGTCAGAGGCGTGTACAATAGCCATGTAATGGCCAGGCCCATGCACAATGCAGGCAGAGATGCGGGATGGAGGATTAAACAACTCACCTGGTAGAGCATGGCGTAGTTCAAGCTGGCAGTTCCTCATCGCTATTTCTAGGACAGCAATGGTAAAACCTCCTTCCCTGGTGTAATACTAATCACCTCCTGGATGTGTGGAACTTGTTCAAGTCTCCAGCCATTGGAAATCTGTGTTTTGTCAACATTTGTGTTATTTCCAAAAATGTTGATTGCCCAGGAGGAAGCCCAGCTGGGAAGGGTAAGGGCACGGTCCCATGCAGTCCCGGCGCAAATTCTCAAAAAAAAAAAAGAAGAGATGAAATTTGTGTATCATTGGACATTCTGCAAATCCTCACAGTGCAACAGTCCTGCATACAAGCGTCTGCAAGCCATTTGTTGGACTTTACCAAACCGTCAGTACCCTGTCAGTCGAAAGTTGCACTGGTGGGGTACTGACGGTCCCGGTGAAATTTCTTCGCTGTGAATCAGGAGGCCATGTCCTGGGAGGTTCCAGCAGGCAACATAATGACCAGAAGCAGCCAACAGTTGTCTCTTTGTGAAAGATTGACTGAGGGCTGAGTAATGAATGCCAGAATTTTCTGCCTGGGTCTTTTCAGGGGCCTCATGCAGGCTGGAACAGCTCCTGCAACAATCTGAAGCAGGGTCATAAGGCAACGACTCAAGGATCTTGGGGTATAATGCCATATTTCCATACACTACCCAAGGCATTCAGATACCCATTGCCCTTGCAAGGGGACGCCCATCAATAGCAATCGTACCCCAAGAGCCTACGAGACTGTGCAAGCACAACAACCATACTAAACCTCCATCCATCCATCCCCAGCCATTGCCTGCACGCAGGGAAAGGAGTTCAAAGCGGCAGAAGCAAAGCTGTCAAGCTCTCTTACCAATCGTGCAGCTGCTGCTTGCACACTTTGAGGAATGGCGTGTGCTTCAATCTTGTTAAGCGGGATCAGAGTGACACGTCGCTTAAGACCTCCCTTTTCAAGAAGCAATTTCCCGGTCTGCTCCGTGTCCACAATCACATTGTACAGCTTACCCCCTGCGCCAACCTGCACTCACGAGGAGCATCCTCGACACCACAGACCGTCACCCCCTCACTCATGAATAGCCAGCCATCGTCACTCAAGCCATGGCGTAAGCCACGTCAGAACAACGTAGCAAAGACCAGACAAGATGACATAGGTATGAAACAAAAGGTTCGGGGAAGAGAAAATTATAAAAAAAAACAAAGCAAAGCTTGGTGCCTTGTGAACTGGATGGTTCGCATGTTAACTGCAATTTCTGTAGGATGCAATTAGCAAAACCATTTAATGGATGCCTTGAAAAGCCAAAACGCACATTCCTTTGCTTGGTGAGCACCTTAACAAAGCCATTTGCTGGCCATGATGTAAATGAACCACCAAAAATGTTCATGGCAACATTGTAAGAGCACTCATCTATAATGTACCACCAATTCTTAGCATCAGAGATTTCCCATTTTCATACGTCCACTGGCAACCCTGTAGTACCACAATTGCATCACACAGTTAAGAAATCTGCTTGTTTGAAGCGTAAAGTGGGTCTCACATGATGTTGTCACGTGAAGACTGCATGGGTGGTTTGCCTCGTGTGTTTTATTCATTTTTGGGGACCAATCATGCCCCGCACTGGTCGTTTCCTTTTGACTCAAATGAGCCAAGCACATGTTTTCTCTTTTCAGGTTTTTTTCTTTGGCCCAATCATGGTTCGCGAATCAATTTTCTTTTTGCCCAATACGTTTCTTTTTTTCTGGTGGTTTCGTTTTTGGTGCAATTGTGCCTCACGTGCTGCCTCAGCTGTGGTGTGTTTTCTTTTTTCCAATCGGCCCAAATGCACATCTTCTTGCCAAATTAGGCAACAACTGCACCTGGCATTGGGCATGCTCTCCTCTTGCCCAATCGGTCAATCCGGCATCATATGATATTTCACAATTTGGTCAGACACCTCAGACGACTTTTTCTTTCCAACAGCCACACATGCACACACATACACACACACATACACAGTGTTACACACAGTTTGAGTTGTTGGGCATGGGGTTCGAACCCAGGTACAGACCTTAAAGAACACACGCACACCACCTCCTGATTGGTTTGCAATCATACTCGACTTATTCACACTTCATCATGCTTGCAAACAGCGATACAGCGAACTGGCAACATGCGCCCACACAGTACTCAAAGATATCGTTACCAGATATGAGTTCTCTTCCAACTGGCTATGGCGACTGTGCGCCCATACAACTCACTGTTCACACTCGARATCACCCTGGATGTCCCACACACGACACTCAATGTTCATACACAACACACACACACTAGGCTATGGCTATGGCAGCGCTAGCTGCCACTACCCTATCGCTACACTACACTTCTCTGCCCACTTCGTCTTCGGGCACACTGCAGACCTCCTCGCACTAGCTGCTGAGGCAGCGCTTCCGCATGGCATCCGCAGGAATGAATGAATGGCTGGACGCAGCCTCTTGATTTATACTTCTGCGCTGCGTTGGTCTGCCCTGTATCCTTGGCCCATGGTGCACACAGTCCCCCCTGTGGTACTTGCTGGACCGGACTGGTACTTTCTAGACTCTCCCTTGACTGCATGGCGACGACCCTACGACGCAGTGCAGTTGCACTGGGGTCCTGCTGTTTGACCTCGCCACTTGTCCTCGTCTACAACGTGGGCTTGCTTTAGTCACACCACTTGGCCACTTGCCTGCACCACTTGACCACTTGCCGACCTTCTAGAAGGACTGCAGCTAGACTTCTAATCTACAGGTCTACAGATCGAATCCTGGCTACCTATAGACCTCCGACAGACCTACTTACCACTGGCGGTTCTACAGGTCGCAGGTTCAATTCTTCGAGTTGACACAGGTATTGTACACAGGTAAGTTGGGGAACTAGGGATCGAGCCCTGGGATCTGCATCAGCTACTTCGAACTGGTGAATACCGTTTCAGGTTGGTGAAAGTCTGACAAAACGGTATGTGGAGTTGTGTGTAGCCAGTATGACAAGACAGACACACAAAGATTGAGTTGGTGGCCCTGGGGTTTACAAATCTTGAAGTTCCAACAGAGATGAGTTAACCACGGAGGTGGACCGCATCCCTGGCCAAAGCTCCAGGACCTGGTTTCTTTTTTTAACATGCTGAGGGGTTGGTGCCCCTGGATTGGTCGGCTGCCGACCAGCTGGCCATTCCACCCTTCGGCACCTACCGGTCGGCTGCCGGTCACCCCACCTCTCCTTCCCCCCCCCCCCCCCCCCTCACCACCAAAAAAAAAGAAAAAGGAAGTGCAGGGTCCATAACCCCCAATAACCTCACCAACACCCCTATACCGCCCCCCAACACCGTCCTACCTCCCACAGGCCCCCTATACGATGGAGTAGACTGCATCCCTGGCCAAAGCTCTAGGACCTGGTTTCTTTTTTTAACCTTATCTTCAGAGCAGTCACGCTTATGGTCAGCGGCCCTGGATTGGTGGCCTGCTGACCAGCTGGCAGACAACCCTTCGGCACCTACCGGTCCGCTGACAATTGGCACCCCCACCAAAAAAAAAACAAAAAGTAAGTGCGGGGTCCATAAACCACAATAACCCACCAACAACCCCAACCCCCCATAACCCCCCAACACCCCCATACCCCCCGCCAACACCCTCATACCCCCCCCCCCATAAAGAAAAAACGAAAAGAAGGAGCAGGGTCCACAACTCCCAATAACCCACCAACACCCCCATACCCCCCAAGAAACCCATACCGCCCCCCAACACCCTCATACCCCCTCCAGAACCCCCACACATTCGCCCCTTACCCCCGCCCATCCCCAAAAGTTTCTCAGCGGATTTGGGCTGTACTCAGCAAGCTCAGTACAGCCCCGAACTCAGATTTGAAAAAAAAACAGCAGATGACCCTCTATAGACTGGTCCGCAGATGACCGACCAATCGGCCCTTCTGGTAGGCTGCAAAATGGTCGGCAGTCGGCATCAGTGATCGGCGGGTATGCAACCCTGCTTATCTTTCTTGTTTTTTGTACGCTGGAACTGGTTCCCATCTTTAATAATGAAAAACCATTTTTTCAACCTTATCTTAGATTCTGCCTCGGACACTTTTTCCATTTTCGATGCTTCGCCCTGATCATGACAGAGATTTGAAATTGATCGACAGAGTGTGAGAGAAAGCGAGAGGAAGAATGAGAGAGAGAGAGAGAGAGTCACCTGGGTGCAAAGATCGACGATACCACAGCCCTCCTGTGTGGGCCATGAGTGGAGAGAGAGAGAGAGAGAGAGAGAGAGAGAGAGAGAGAGAGAGAGAGAGAGAGAGAGAGAGAGAGAGAGAGAGAGAGAGAGAGAGAGAGNGAGAGAGAGAGAGAGAGAGAGAGAGAGAGAGAGAGAGAGAGAGAGAGAGAGAGAGAGAGAGAGAGAGAGAGAGAGAGAGAGAGAGAGACCTGGGGTGCAGAGATCGACAGTACCACGGCCCCCTTGGGTGGCCTATGAACACACCAATGCTGCAGCAAGCCCCAACTTGTCAATTATGAAAAGATTCAAAAGAATGAATCTACTGATATATATTCTTTGCGCTCTCCTCTCACAGGATACGAATTGGCATCCTTGCATGCCGAATCTTGATCGGGCATGCAACACAGTTGCTGGTTGTGCGTTGTGGACATGGATCCACACCTTCCTCATCCTCTGTTGCATGTATGTGCAAGCGCAGGGGTCTAAATCTAGGCACAACATGGAAAGCATCACTAGAGCATGGCAAATCATACAGCAGCAAGCTTTGCTGAGTTCCACTGCATGTTGTTGGCAGTTCAGAACACAAAAGAAGGAAAAGAGCGTGCAAAATAGGAAGGTTGCTTCTGGTTTGTACAGAGACAAAGCGATTCTGTTATGCGAGCAAAAAAGGCAACACCAACATAAATTGCATAAAGAATGTCTGAGGTCCATGCAGTTCTGTCAGTGTATACAGTCTACATGTGGTAAATCAGTAAACCGATACTAAGTGAGGGGAAGCAAGTAGTGGTACCTCAAGAGCCAGTGATGTGGATGGGTCTTTTACTCGGATGGTCCTCGCCACAATGCCCTTGACCTTTGACCGATCAAAGCCTCTGACAGGATCTGAATAGACGAAATCGATCCCTGTGACACTTGCCAGAAGCTCGTCCCTCTTCACCCTCAAACTCCTTACAGCCTGAGTTTCCCTTGCTTTCATCTGTTTCACCAACCAGCGGCCAGTGCAAGCAACAACAAGTAAGCAGCTGAGGGATGACAACAAACACTTTTGAAATACTGGCATCCAACACTCCGTGAATTTAAGGGATCACCAAGCTCCCATAAGTTTACACCTCTCTCTTTTCTTCATATAGTCGAGAATCATGACACATCCAATACACATGGCAAAGCTGTGTCCATGAGCAGTCAAGCCCCCTGCTTAAATCAGAAGCAGGGGTCAAATTCAAATGCATAGAGCAGATTCAATTGCACAGCAAGGGAGAAAACAATAAGGGCGTGGGGGGCTGGTGGCG